GTGTGTGGGCGGGGGGGGGGGAAGAGATAAGATATTTCACAGTGTCCAAGAGTAATATATGCCTAGAGCCACTGCAGGGAATCTTAGTAGCTCAATTGGCTAGTTACTTGAATTTTCACCTTGTTGGTGACTTGTTGGTGAGAGTTCGATTCTCCACCTTGTAATCCTCTCTCCATTTTCCCTTCCGCTACCCCCTATGTAACAATTTAAAAAAAAAAAAAGGCTAGAGCCACTGCCAGTTCCATCAATTTGTCACAATAGAAGTTAGAGAAGCAGCAACCAAACAACAAAGGCCCCCAATATGCCTCATGAGTACGCGTATCATCAGTCTGAAGACCGAAAAGATAAGAGTAGCAAAAACAATAAATGATCAAATAGAAAAAAATAGTACAAAGGAAAAACTGTCTACATAGAAGTACGCGGTTTTGAGTCGGAAAACTATGTACCATGCCATAAATGTATTGTTTAATCAAAAAATAAAGTTCTTCTATCGTATAGCTGCAAGTTGGGGAGTGAGCTTTCTGGTACAATAATTTAAAGCAATTGAGTCCACTGTCATGCTTTGTTAGAGCGAATTACGGTCTCACACTGTTGGGATATACTACAAATAAATCAACTAACTCCTCCAATCAATCACTATATATACATCAGAGAACACATATGCAGAAAAGCATAAGCTTCTTTTTCTACAACACGTATCACTTAAACCTTGTTTCAATTTCTTGTAACACTCTTTCCTTCTTAAAGTTGAAGAGAAGTCATGGAATTTCGTTTGTTACCAATGATTTCCGGTGCCAAGCAAATCTACAAACTGCAGTCTCTTCTAACAAGGAGTCATTCAGATGTTCCGAAAGGACATTTTGCAGTTTATGTCGGTGAGAGAGAAAGGAAAAGGTATATGGTGCCAATAACATACCTCGATCATCCTTCGTTCCAGAACTTGTTACGGAAAGCAGAAGAAGAGTTTGGATTTCATCATCCAACGGGTGGTCTAACAATTCCTTGCAATGAGGATGAAATGAAGAACCATGAAGTAGCAGTCTGAGCTTCAGATTAGAGCTAGCTTATAATTTTTAGTTTTAGTTTTTTCATCTTACGGGCAGGAGTTGTAAACTTATGTAAAAAGCTGTCAAGCAAAGCATATAAATGAAATCTTTAGCATCATTTGTTGTCTTTAGAAAATGGATAGCCTAATTCAATGATCGTGCATCTTTTTTATTACAACCATGGTGCCTAGACATCTTGTGTACACCTCGACTTATCCACTGGAAAATCTGTTATATCCACAAGCACAAGTGTTGGGTAAACCTGGCCCCAAAAAGTTGGAGCAGATGCATTCACATTTGGTATTGTAACTGAATTTGAATTTAAGATCTCAATAACTCAACCATCCCTTTGGGATGAACTGACGATGTAATTTCCTTGCGTTCCAGGAAAAGCTACCATTACAAGTCAGAGGGAGATAATGAAAGACTTCTTAGATTAAAAAAGTTCCATCTTATCACTGTATCACATGCTACACAGGGAAAAGATATCGAATAAGATAGAATTTAATAGAACAACCAGATGAAGCACACCATTAGCTTGAATTACTTGCACAAAAAGTTTTAATAATCGAAGAAATAAATGTAGAAAGAGACCACCGTTCATGAAAAAATTTCAGGTAGAATAAACCTAGTCAAAAAACCAGCACCCAATGATATCCTTTTATTAATATCAGCATCAAAGAATCTTAAAATACTTAATCTAGGCTTAAGCTTGTCATCAAATTAATAGTGTTTGATATGTCAGAATCAATGATTGAATATTGGATGCATATTAGCAACCTGCATAAAAATAGTGTCCGGATAATTTATAATGACCTCAGAATCACATGTACCTGTACCTATAGGACATGTGCTCTTGAGGAGAACTGCCAAAAAGGATAAGCCAAATTGGTAGGACAGATATTTCAGGATGAGCAACAAATTATTCATTGTGACAGCAAGAAATGAACCGATCTTGATTGAATCATTGAGGGCCAAAAAAGAGATATTCCACGGTGCCTGAAATAGAAAACTGCGTGTGAGCGGAGTTGTAAAATAAGCCAAGAGTCACTGCTAGCTTCATCACCCATGTATTCTGAAGCATTATTTTGGTACTAGTACAGAGTAAGGAAGATAGAGCAGTGATTTGAAATTCTGAAGCTAAATAAATAGATATTCTGCATATACTAGGTGAATGGAATCAATAGATATCATTTGTACCACCTTTTTCAACCTCTCTACTCCTCCTCTACCAGGAATTTATTAACCATGCTCCTATGTAATGCTGCTTTCTCATAGTAAATCCCGCCTCTTTACTACATTTATACTGTTAATAGACAAAATATAATTTAATATTTCTACACGGTGGGGCTATGCTTGGTCCCAGGACCAAGACACTAATGTGTGATTTGCTTTAAAATGTTGTGGAAGGTTAGGATTGCAGTCAACAATCTCATCTGGTTGACTTCTTAGTCTTCTCAAAACCTTTTGATATATCAAAACTTCATATTATTTATACAAACTAGTTTCTTCGCACGTGCAACGCACGTATATATTAAGTTATATGTAATATATTATTTTATAAAATAAAATTAATATTATTAAAATAGAGCTTCGTATAAGAAACTTCATACAAGAAAGAATAAGGTAGTAGTTTCTGTGAATCATTAAATTGAATCAGTCATATGATGACTTGTTTATTAGTATCGTCTGAATCTAGGAAGAAGAATAAATAAAGTTTAAATATGGTTTAACAAAATTTATTTCTTTAAGTAGTATTGGTTAAGTGAGTTTACCTGATGAACTTCAGGCTGAAATATTCATACATTGTTTCGTTATTCGAATTTTATAGCATAATGATTTTTATAGTGATTGAAAACATGCTGGCTTTTGCCTCTCAATCCATGATCGATGCCCTTACTTTTTACTCATTTTGATTTTTTTCTACAACCCTCTTATATCCATGAAAGCATGGCTTGGGAAGTTTCATTTTGAAGTTGGATTTAGGAAGGGTATATGATTTTGCAGGATTTTTTTACGTGCTATGAATGTGACATTTCAGAACTAAGTCAATTTTTGAACAATGATGTGATATTTGCGACTTATGAGCCAGCTTTGCCATACTACGACATGCATGATTTTAGGGCCTTGTATATTAAATTTACCTTGAACAACTGATCATCATTGTATAATTAAGACTAATGTAAATTGAAAAGTTATCAGATAAACTGATCACTATTTGATCTTGTAGTCCTTAATATCCGTTGGAGGGTATAATTGAAAATTCAACGCATTCTAGGCTTTTGTTTAATTAAGTTCATGCTTAAGAAGTTTATCTATGTTTTTTTTTTGTCTGCACTTGATCATATGAAATTAAGGAGTTCATCAATGATCTTTAATGTTGTCTTCACGTAATCTTATATGATGAAACAATAGTTGCTTACACGTGTTTATAACATTCATACATTTCATAAAAAAAAACGATTATGTACCACTCAACCCTATTGAAAAGAATAAAAATTAGACTCAAAATATTCAATAACTTGAAAATATTTTCAACGAACAAAAATATAACGTACGTAGAAGAGAAATGCATAAGAGAATAAGATAAAGAGCATTAAACTTACTTTAACAACGGGTTCAAGTTGAGTACAGCAACAACAACAACAACATACTTAGTATTATCCCACATCATAGGGTCTGGGGAGGGTAGTGTGTACGCAAAACCTTTACAAAAATTATTGTGACAGAATTTGTGATCAAAGTATCGAGAAACCCCAAAAGTTGACACCGATTAATTTTTTATGCGAAGAGGGCGGGATTAAAACCATGAGAATCTTACGTGAATAACCAATGTTAGCCTTTAGTTATCCAGTAAAATAATAAATGCCACAAGAATAATTTTTCAAACGGTGGAAAAATAATTGAACCTTGTAACATTAATCCCGCTTCATCATCAATATGGCTTCGATATTCTCTAATTTTTCAGAATTTGCTACTGCGAAGGGAACGTTTTGACTAAGGGAATTTGGCTTCATCATCAATATGACTAAGGGAATTTGCCGGTGCCAAGGGAACGTTTCGATAGATTTCAGAAATGGCATTTAGTTATATATTAAAAGGACACAACCTTTTAGAAAGGACACTTGAGATAATGAAAATAACTTTTTTCTTCTTAATAAATATTATTATTAAATAATATTTATTGAGGTTATTTAGAAGGATATTTTAGTAATTTAACTTTTACCTTTTGAGGTTCCCACTTTTATAATAATATAGATTAGAGAAGCAGCTGGGAGAAAATGGTTGCATTCAAGTACTACAACTAAACAACAAAGGCCCCAAATATGCCTCATGATTAAATCTATCTTCAATCTGAAAAGATAGCAAAAACAATAAATTATCAAAAAGAAAAACAAATAATCGACGAAACAACTGAGTCTACATAGAGGTACGCGGTTTTTAGCAGGAAACTATGTGCTAGGCAATATATGTAATATCAAATCAAAAGAAAATTCTACTATCTTACAGCATCCGTGAGAGTGAATTTTGGTCCCACAATATTTGGTTACTACTAAAAATAAATAAGTAACTCCTCCAACCAATCCCTATATATATATATATATATGGAGAACTCATTTGCAAAAATCATAAGCCTCCTCAGACTACATATCACTTAAAGCTTGTGTACAACTTGCTGCATTCTTACCAGCTAAAAGTTGAAGAGAAGTTCATCGACATGAGGATTCATCTCAAGACAATCTTTGATCATGCTAAACACAGCATTTTTCTCCACCAAAGATCAACTGCAACCACTTCAGCAAAATTAGCAGATGTTCTCAAGGGTCACATGGCAGTTTATGTTGGAGAGAGCCATATATAATAATAAGCACCGATTCGTGGTTCCTATCTCTTGTTTGAAGCATCCTTTGTTTCAAGACTTGTTGAGGCATGCTGAGGAAGAATACAGATTTGATTATCCAATGGGGGGCCTTACTATACCATGCAGTGAGACTGCATTTCTACGTGTCACTTCTCACTTGAATGTCACTACAATTAATAAAGGAGGATTACAAGTCTAGTTCTTCAACCTGTACCGACAAGTATATTGTAGGATAGAAGTTTACTAATTCATAGATTACACTGTCCCAACTTACCAGAACATTTGGATATATTTTCTTGTAATATCAGTGTTGCTTAAGCCAATACATTGCTTTTCAGCATCTCACCATCCTCAATTCCCTAATATTAAGAAACAACAGATTTAACAGAAACGGAAGAGTGAATGAAAAACTTGTAATCAATCGTTTGAACATCAGAACCATGGATTTGAAGCTTGTGTCATCGCGTGCAGTGCATTTTTATTAAAATGAAACCAATCGCATGATCTGCTGGAAAATTTTCGTTGTACAACCCCCCTCAAGAAAAATAATTGTAGCAGCTCAAAATGTAGTGAGTTGATAGGGATAAGTAGACCTTTTTGACCTTGTTAGAGGAACTAAAGAATAGATTCTACTACCTTTTTCACTGTTTGAAAACTATGCTATTAATTCTTAATTATGTGCATTCACCTTCGTCTGCTATAACTGCTAACGAAGCAGTCGTTCTCAGAAGTTATGTTAGAAAATCTTGAACAATATTCCGGGGAACATAAGTAGTAAAGCTAGCTTGCCTCATACAACAAATGAAGACATAAAAATTTCTGATGCTTTATCAAGTGAATCTGTTTAATACTTGTTTGCTACAGCAAACGTTCATTACTGAAGCGCAGAAGAGTAAATGCTTGAATAATTTGTCTCCAAGACAAATGTGACAGTTAAAAAAGAAGCCACAGAAATGACAAACTTGTGATCAATGATTGAATATTAGATTCATATAGCAATATGCATTAAATAGTACTCAGATAATTTAACATGTAGTTGCACCTCTAGGACATATCCAACTTGGTAGGGCAGATATGGAGGTCAAAATAAACAACTATTATTGTGACAACAGCAAAGAATATCACCAAGTAGAAGCAAATATTAACTAATTATTAACTATGTTCCATTGTATTCACCAACTCCATTGCCCCGCTATGATCTTTCAGCAAATTATTTACCTCAGTAGATATCCGTAGTTCTTATTTTCACTCCC